TCTTTCTTTCTTTCTTTCTCTGTCCCTCATGTCCTTGTTTTTTACTGCCAGTGTGTTAGTACGACTGAGTCCAGATTAGCTAGAGATTCCTCTCTGTAATAGCACTGCCCAAAAGACTTAAGATATTCACAACCCTGACAGACGCCCAAGGGATGCATGGAGTGTGTGTGTGTGTGTGTGTGTGTGTGTGTGTCTTTTCGAAAAGACTTAATTGTCTGAGATCGATCAATAGCCCACACTGATCACGCGGCAGGAACACACACTGTATACAGTGCGAGACACACACTTCTTTTGTGCTCTATTGTGCCGGTGCTCTGACAGTGACTGGCAGTGTCAAAAGACAACTGCACAATGACCGCTGTGTCATCGTGGTACACACACACACACACATACACAGAGACTCAAGGCTTCAGACAGAGTTTCAAACAGCTGAAAAGGAAGAGTTTGATATATTAAATTATCATTATTTGATAAATAATGATCTCTTTCCTGGTTTCATTGGTTGAGTGGTGCGCGGGGCGGGGTGATCGATCGTCCTGCCAGCTGTCAAACGGATGAAATTCTTCAGCTCTGACACCGTCGTAAATCTCTTTTTCATGTGGGTGACAGCGCCTAATGTCACCCGTCCCCTGTCGGCGCTCGCCTCCACAAAGAATGGTCATGCAAAGAACCCAAATGTCTATAATGTCCCGAGTGCTGTCCTCCCCAGAAAAGTGTTTGATTGATATCTGAGGCTCTTCAATTTAGAGATTGCAGGCACCATGTGGCGTTTAGCTGATTAACTCACATCCAGGCACTGTCACAAATCTTCAAGATGTCCGAGAAAACACGCAAGCCTGTGAAGGATTTGCTGGAAGTGAATCAGAGTAGGATGCTGGGAAAGAGGGTGAATGTGTCTGCAGCCTTGGATCCTGAGATAGAATAGAAAAGCCCTGTGACACTGAAGGAAGAAAAGATGTTTGTCATCACCAGATGAGATGACACATCGGCTGACTTCACTGCTCACTGTTAAAATTATTGACAGGTTTTCTTTTTTACTCCAGGCTTCGTTTTCATTATGTTTGCCACCATAATGATTTTGTCGGAGTTCTAATCACCTGCTTCACTATAGAGCTTTTACCATGTCACAGTTCTTTTCAACCTCACGCTGAAAAAGAACATCCAGAGTGTGATTAAAAGGCAAGAAAACTCCACTGGGGTTAATTTATAATTGATTGTAGATCCATACAGACAATGTCGATTAAGTGTTTCACAGCGTGGAACACATAAAGAATATTTTTTGACTGAAGCAGTGAAGTCCTGTTTTTCCTCTCCTGTTACCATGTGATGTCAACACAGCAGGGTACGAGCACAAACTAAACAAGGAAGTGTGCGTGCAGCCTGGGCAAATGTTGTTGTAATTGTTCAGCTATATTTAGAGGAGGAACAAGCCATCCAGGTGCATCGGCATGCTTATGTTTTCAAAGGCTTTTATTCTTTCTTGCTTTTTCTGTTCTAACCCGTAAAAACTGTAGGATCAAGATGAGTTCATAGTTCACCACATACAGAAGCAAACACATGTGGCCTGTGTGAAGGCTCACTGACAGAATATCAGTACTTGAAACAGTTAAGCTGTGACATTCTGATGAATTTGGCAGCAAAGACACAGAAAGTGCTCCACATCTCTACAGTGCTTTCACCAATAATGATCAAAATTGCTTAGTGGGTCCTCAGCTCCTCATCGTACCTGTGTGTAACATACTCGACTTAATGTGCTTTTGCTCGGCCCCGAGATAAACTGCCTGCAGCTTTATGAAAAGATATTAGGATCTGCAGTTGTACAGTATCGCTGTGCTGAAAAGCCATGGTTCAATCACTGTTTAGAGTTTGTGTGTGTGTGTATGTGTGTGTGCAATGGACAGCAGCATTCCCAGTAAAGTACAGAAAGATACAGAAAGCTCTGCAGTGCAGTAGGGGAGATAGTGAACAGGTCTGATCGCTTAAAAATGTGTATTATTTATGTATTATTAATAAAGTGTATTATAATAAAAATAGAATTACTCTGAAGGCTTCACTTCGACTTTCACTAAGGAACAAAAACATTTTTCACAATAAACCATTTTAAAAATAAAATTTAAATTTAGTATCAGACTAAAAATAATTACTTTTTTAATAAAAATGTTCAATTAAATCTTAGTATTCCTTTTTTGTCTTAGCCCAAGTTATATCAGTGCTTACTTCCTGACCAGAGGGTCTTTCCTGCAGGCCCTGTTAAGTCAAGGTCTTTAGTGCATATTCAGCTAGCTACTTTGAATCTCTTTATTGTCATGTCATGTGACACAGCTGACGTGTGTGGTGGTACACATGACATGACCAAAAGAGATTCAATGATACTACTGAATATGCACTAAATGATTGACTTACAGGGCCTGCAGTAATACCTCTTGGTCATATTAACACTTATATAACTTTTCTAAACCAAAAAAATAATAATAATTTAATTAACATTATTAAAAAATATTTATCATCAATAATATTAAAATATTTAAAATTTCCTAAACAAAAACCAAAAACAAATAAAAATTATTTATTTATTCTCTTTTGTCATGTCATGTGTACACAGCTGAGTGTGTGCGTGAGTGGATGATTGCAAGCGCAGAAAAACTCGTGCAAGTGCGAGTGAGTTGCTTGAAATGTGTTGCCTGTCGCCTCCGGAGGTTAACTCAAAATCACTCAGCGGCAGACACATTGTCATTGACAAAGAGCTCTGCAAAGCTGGGAAGGAAAATCAGTCACCTTAGGTGTCAAGACTCTGTGCGCCGAATATTTTATCATTTGCATGTTTATTTGATTAGCATCTCAGCCGGCTGCAGTGATTGGACTCACAAACAGTTGTGGAGCTTGAGGATCTAAGTCAGCCTGAGATCACCAGTGCTGTTTTTCCTAATCAAGTTAATTAGAGGAAGTGCTGTGGGAGCCAGATTGACAGCAGCTAGGGACCGCCAGTCCACTTACTGCAGCCCGCAGGCTGTCATCGTGCAGAAATTGCAGAGAAATGTGGGTCAACAGGGTGTCAGAAGTTACTAGAGGCATTGTGGGTGTTGCATGCCGTCGGGCAGTGATCAACTGCGGAGTTCTTCCAATTTCTACATTTTTCATTTCATTTCGTGTTTCTTCTGAGCTCTTACTCATGCTGTAGCTCTTAACTTTATTGGAGATGCAATAAACGTTGAGCTTTGTTGTTCCATTTCCACATTAGTCTGAGAAATCTTCACCTGAAACTTCCTGAGGCGTACACATCCCAATGATAAAATTACTTGCTTCCATTAAACAAATAGTGTTGTGGTTGTCACAACTGATAGATATACTGTATGTCAGAAGATCAGGGATCCCAGCTTGTTTTTCTTCTTTCCCCACGCTGTTTTTGCTTGTCTCCATTTTGAAGAGCGGCACGTTCTTAGTTGTAAATGCACAAAGAGGCTTCGATTCACCTTCTGCCTGTGATAAGTATTCAGTGGTAGACAGACACAGCCCGCGGGTATGCCTTTTGCTGTATGCTAATATAGCCTTTTCTCTGCACCTCCCTTTCCCTCGACTAATATGATACATAAATGTTTTTAATGCGAGGGAGGCAGAGGAAGTCGGATCAAAGCCCTGCAGGTGAAGAAACGTAGAAGGCGGGGCTTGCTACGGATTGGCTGCGCCCCATTGGAGTCCTGTGTTGTAATGGGCTGCAGTTGTAGGTGATTCTGCCTGCCAGTTGGCTACTACCAGCATCACCTGGATTACACTGATTCACTGCCCTGCATAATACAGGGAACGATTTGGAATTGCACACAGACCCGAGGGGGAAAGTCCAATTAACATATGTATGAGCTGAGCGGAGATGGGAGGAAGCTCTCGCCAAAATAATCTCCCAGCATTTCAGACATGTTACGGGGGGTTAACAGTGTACGCCTGCTCACTGCGGCAACCACACAATCACAGCCAGAGCCCTGCCGGAGCTTGCTATGCCATCACACCGGCCTAACGAGGGGTTGTTAGGCTTAAAAAGTTACACTGTGGCATCCTCGCCACTTTACCCGTCAGATAACACCACTAAGTGGGCAGTAATGATACTTCAGGCAGACAGGTAAGCCAATATCAGTACATCAGAGGAACGTGTCCTCTCAGTGTTCGACGTGGCCGACCACTGCCTCTGCAGGGACGAGTTGACACAGCGAGGCCTAACCTGAAGTAATCCCCTCCAAGCCCCGAAGCGGGGCCGTGCCATTAAAATACCACACTAATTAAAATAGAAAAGTTACATGGCGGCTGGCAGCAGAGGATACAGACTGAGGTGACACCCAGAATGTAAAGTCCTCTCAACTGGCGTCATGCTACAGAAACAGAGCTGAGTGCACACTAGCAGAGCAGAATCCTTGATTAGAAAGAATTATTCATGTTTTTTGGATTTTTTTTTTTTCCTCGCTGTTTCTCCTGACTTTTCTCCACTGCCACAGCCGACCACTCACTGCACCTGCTCAGCCACTAAAACAATGCCTTGGCTACTGTGCTTTGGCACTACAGATGTTCCCATTCAACTGTCAAGCTAATTTTCATGTATAAATAGCTTGGTTGGAACCAACTTTGGTTTATTCTGGACCTGCCTGACAGAAACAGTGATACATGCATGAAGAAGATGTATTTAAGTGTCTGGGAGAAGACCAGGGAGAGAAAAGAGAGCTGGAACAGGCTTGTGAACACCATCCCACAAGCCTTAGTTGTGACAGGCTGCCATTTCAAAGCTTCTGCCCGCATCCAAGAGAGAGAAAAGACAGCTTCAGTTTTTAACTGTGTCATAAGATTTTTACACTTGGGGAGCTTTGTCTGTTTTTTTTTTCCTACACCCTCTCTAGTTAATAAATCAGGCGGAAATTTTGCCCCCCAGAGGTGGAGGATGATAAAAAATTAGTTTTGGAGGGGAATTCTTTCATCTTCTTTATGTGTGTGAAACAAAGAGAATGGGAGACTAAGGCGTTATCGGAGGCTGCAGTTGTGTTTTAGGAGCCTGTCCTTGGCAAGTGGGCTGGTGAACTTTTATGGAGGCCAAGGTTGTACAGTTAAGCTCGGATCAGAAGCTTACGACTGTTACACACACACGCACACACTCGCTAGCAGACACACACAGGGCGTTGAAAAGAGATCACGGGGAATCAATTGTTTTTGAAGCCGTACCAAATTAAGCAGCATTGCAGCTTACATATTTATGTGGCACCTCCAAGCTGTTTCTGAAACAGCAGCTTGGCATCAAAACACAGAAATCAATAGCTGTGTTCCGCTTCCTAAATTGAAACATCCACTTTCCAAAATGGGAGAGCCTGTGTCCTTGCTCAAAATCCGGAAAGATTTGTTCAATTACAGCCACAACATAGTAGGAGGTAGTGGACAACCTATATGCTCCACTCTACTCTTTGTTATTTTAATACCTATACCTCAGTTTCTATCATTACTTAGAAAGATGGTCCAGAGGATTGGTTTTAACATGTTCAGGTGACATTGATGTTTTTCTCGCATACCCCTCCCTACCGCCTTAATCAGAGTGAAATCTAATTGCCTCTGTCTGTCTTATCAGTTGATAATTTACCCCATTAGCGCCACGAGCAGAGGCATTACTGAACACTTCTGAGCTGATAAATGAAACATGGGGCTTCAAGCACGCCAAGTTGCCCCCCTGTGATGCCATGTAATCCCGTAATGGTCACAATAATGATGGAGCCGTGGGTGGTGTCATTACAAGGGGCAGTTTCCATGACAGCACCCCTACCACTCTAACAAAAGCTGAAACAAAAGGTAGACTAGAGAAGGAAGAAGTTTGACTTTGGATGTAAAATGCACCTCTTTCAATTTTCACCAGCACTTCTCATCAAAAATTATTTGATGCCTCCGTCTGCTTTTTCTTCTAATCTGCAGACACACCACATTTAGCTGAGTGATCCATCCCTCATGCGTGAAGCTTTCCAAATGAAAATCACTATGGCGCCAGGCTATCATCTCTTGCTTACTCTTGATACAGGAATGCATACCATCCTACCTTCAGGCTCCCACTTTTAACAATCGAGTCAAGCCCTCAACGCTGATACACACACACTGTTACCCTTTTTCAGTATGCACAATACCTTGTAATACTTTCATTGACACATAAAGCTATAAAGAATTGATTGAGTCAGGATGGGAGGCTGCGATCAAAGTGTTCTTCATTCCGTTTTTCAGGTTTCTTCTCCCTCCTCCTGATCAAGTCAGGTTGTGTCAGCCAAGCCTAAACCCGTCTGATGCTAGCGAGAATCATAGGTGCAAAATCCAGTCCTCGTTTTAATGAAGTCATGCTGGAGCTACTGCGTGAGAGGGAGAGACTGAAGCAGACACCTCTCTGTGATGTTCACATTTCATATCTGCCTCTGCCCAGGAGCTTGTCTTTTTTGAATTATTAAGCAGAGGGCTCTTTCTTCTCTTTGCCTGTTTCTTTTTTTTTCTCGTTTTCCGGTCTCCACATTTTCTCTCTCTCGCACACTCTCTCCTCTTCCTGTTCTCGCTCCTCCATGTCAGTTCAACCAGCTTTGGCTGAAGCGGTGGCTCTCACTGAGATGCAAATGGAAGCCTTTGAAGGGGCACATTGGGAACGTCAATTAATCCGGGCGTGTACTCGCCTGAAAGAAAAAAGGCTGTGCAACCATTGTTGGTAGGCTGTTTCATCTCCATTGTGCTACAGGGCCATGTTTTTATCCGCTGTCCTCATGCCACCGGATTCAGTGGACTCTTCAAAGATTCAGGATACATCAGGATAGGCACAAAGGCGAGGAAATGACATAGGAAGCTGAGGAAGCAGAGGTGTCACAGGATTAGGGCTGTGTTGCATATTCCATCATATCTCTTAACATACCCCAAACCTTTTCTAACACAAAACCTGCAGTCCACTCATGTGGCTATGCTCTAATCTACCTCCCTGTCACCTATGCCCTTTCCAGCCCCAGACCTTTCTCCAACCACTACTTTAATTTCTTTCAGCTTACCATCTACCCTGTTCAGAATCCCCCCTCTAACTTTTCTCTCTATTTCTTGGGTGGTCCACCTTCAGATCTCAGCATACCGAGCCCCTGCTTGGAAAAGGTGTGCGATCATGGGGCGGTGTGCGTGGTCAAGAACGACGAGCCAGTGTGCGAGTGCCCAGAGGCCTGCCCGCAAACGTCCGACCCAGTGTGCGGATCCGATGGCCACAGCTACGGCAGTCCCTGCGAGATGCGAGCAATGGGTTGTGCCCTGCAAAGGACCATTCACATCCAACACAAAGGACCCTGTGGTGAGTAACTGCTCGACAAAACACCACAGAGCTACAGAACTAAAATATGCTGGCACCTTGTTTATGAATTGCCTGTGACTATCATGTAACAAATGTATACATTATGCTGTAACATTACACCATACCGTCAAAAATTCATAAAGAAATGATGTGAATCAATGCTCACAGGTAGAGAAACATCTCTCCTTGTGAAATATAATTAAGCTCAATTATTTAATAGTACTACATTACCCAGAGGCATAATCTACAGACGTTAACAATTAACACATATGGAATTGTATTCATGGTGACCCCCCGGGGCTTCCCATTTTAAATCCAACAAAGTCAAAACAACACTTAATGCATTTTCAGGTCTTAAGAAAATTCCTGATCCCTTGTCAATTGCTCTTCATCTCTTCCCTCCTGCTCTTATACAGCCCTTCTATACCAACACCAATTTGCCAGTTTTGACCTTTAAGTGAAGATGCTCTTTACTCCAGATGAAAGAGAATGCATAGCATACTTGTCTGTAATTGGCTACATGAGTCACTTTGCTTTGTCTTGCAGTGTCGGAGTATCAGCTAGTCATTAGTACACCAGCAATAGAGTTTCAAGTGGTAAAAATATTTTCAGATCCACTATGCAGGCACACAGCCATACAGACAGATTTTTACAGCTTGGTAAACCCTCTTAGTGAATACTTTAGATGGCTTAATGCCATCTTGGAAGGCCAATTTTCCCATAGACTGTAATTAGTGATTGAGTATTCTTCCTTGCCTATGATCAAGCCATTCGCTTTTCACACACACTGGGCAGAAGTACAGCAGTTATTAGCCCCTTGGCCCGAGTCTCTCAGTAACCTCATTTTTACTACAATAGATTTTTTTCCTGCATATTTTGAAGACCATAACAATGAAAATGAGTTGGCCTCTGTGGTGCCGTATTTGTGGATGAGCTGAGCAGTTCGCTGAATGATCAATACAACTGAATTATTCTCACTTTGCTTGTATGAAATTGTACTCTACTGTTTTGTCCCAAAATGTGCAGTTTATGGGTCGGGTTTGTTTGTACGAGATAGTGTGTTTGTTTTGTAAAATGAGTAGTGGTTTGAGTTTCTTTCTGTGCTGAGTAGATGACAGGGATAGTTGGAGAGGTCCTATGCTCCCCCTGTTCGCGTACTGCATCTGTCATTTTCCCCTCCCAGCCATCCCTAAATTGAAATCCAGCACCTAAGGATGTATGCCAACAGGAAATGGAGCGAGAGCAGTGTTTGGTCGGTGGGCAGGCGGGCTGACTCAATTCCGTGTGCCGTACCGCAGGTAGACGGCAGGTCTGTCGGCCCGGGGTCCCTCTGCAGTAATGAATAGTCTTTATTTTCAAAAAGGGAGGGGCTGAGCGAGCTGGCGGAGTGGAGGGCCCTGTCGGTAATCCAGCACTATGGATGGTTCTTGGCTCCCAGAGGAGCAGGCCTGCGTCAGCGCAATGGTGCCATAAAAATGCTGAGGCATTGGCTTGCCAGGCGCGAGCCAGCTGAGGAATGATGGCGATGATAATGTGGGTTATTTCTGGGCTGTTTGCACAGCTTTACTGGGCTTTATTCAGCACCATAACAACTGACTGACTTAAGCTATTATCTCACCTAATTATCACAGCCCATTCCCACTACTAATATACTATACATGTTTATGGAGCAGAAAAGGAGAGAGAGGAGAAGAACGTATGCTGCCTTCAGGTGCTGATGGAAGTACTGGAATTAAAAGTGCAACAGAAGAAAGTGGTGAATGAAGGGAGGATTTTCTGTGATACACAGGTTGTTAAGTAACCCTATCTCTCAATTGCAGTAGAGCATAAGAAATTAGGAATATTATTATGTTTGTTTACCAATCTCAATTTATTGCTTTAGTTTTTTTCCACTAAAACAATTATGTGCCACATTTCCATTTTCTTCATTCGGCAACATTAAGTAGGTCTGTATATGTTTTTATACTTGTGATTTCAGAAATAGCCATCACAAATGTTTATTTTTGTTTACAGGCTCTGTTTTGTTATTTCCATCCAGATGCACTATAATGTGTAAGCTGTCAGATTTATGGCTGCCAGACTCAAAAGTAGGAGCTTAAGCAAGGCAGGTGAGGGCAGCAATAGTTTAAGAGGGGAAAGAGGTGCCACAATAGGGAAAATAATGTGTGCATGTGTCCTTGTGTGTTTATGTGTGTGGCTTACTGCAGCCTCTCACGGGCCCAGCCATAATTTCATTTCCTTCCCTCCGGGCTGGAAAAATAGTGGTTATCTATATAGCTCAGGTGCAACCCGATAGCAATATGAGTGACATTTGTTATTATTCTGAGATTTTTCCTCCTCCTGCATTTGAGTGGCTGCCGACCTTGTAAGGTGGGTTGGGAGAAGTGTGCTTGGTTAATAGACCCCCCAGCTGAATATCAGTAGCCTCTGAAAAAGGCCCGTTCATCCAGCTTTACCCAAACATATGAGAGCAGAGGCGCCTGAATCATTTAAGAAAAGGAAATAACAAATCCCCCCTTTTTCTCCCATGGGTGTTTCAAATGATATACACAGTTGAGTAAGAAATATACAGTAGGTAGGAGCAGCGGCATCAGAGTGGACAGAGAGAGAGTAGAGGGCAGAGGAAAGAGGGAGGGGAAAGTAATAAATGCAGGGAGAGAAGGAGATGGAGGTAAAAAAGATGAGGAGGAGCAGAGAAAGTGGGGGGCAGAGTTAATAGTGTACCAGCCAGGCAGGTATCGACGGGGGAGTTGTTATCACCCAGGCATGTTCACAAGCCTTCAAAACACAAACCAACCTACTTCTTTCTGCTTAATCCAGAGGTAATACTCCACCCAGACCCCCTAGATGCAATTCTTTTTTTTTCCCCGGTGAGGATATCAACAAAACACTGTAAAGCTGGAGGGTCTTTGTTTTTTTTTTTCTCCTCAATGATACAATCCTTCATGCTTTCAAGGCCACTTTTTATACCAACCTGCCCCTATTTCTCACTCTCACTTCTAAAGCCACAAATGCTGCCACCAAACACAACAAGAGAAGCTGTCACAGTGCAAGAACCAACATCAGTAGTTCCCAACTTTAGGTCCACAGGATTTCAAGGGGACCTTGACTAAATTCTAGCAGCAGAGGAAAAAAGTTTGGTTTAATAGTTAGAGGCAAGACATGGCAGGAGATATAGAAATAAGTGAAAGGTATATATCATATAAGGAGACTCCACATTAATATTTGTTTTAACCTTTTATATACATTACACAAATGCATCCAGTAGTAACCTACAGTATTGTGGCTAATGGCTAATAAAAGCTGCTCTTGTGACACAGTGATGTCTGGTTCTGAGCTGCTTGCATTTTTGAAACATTTTCAAATAAGATGTTTCATTTCTGAAGTACAGACGGATGGTTTAGAAATCTGAATTTCTCAGGTACCAAAATGGCATGGCGAAACAACAGCTTATGCCAGGATTGTGATGAATTGCACACAAATATCATCCCAACTCCACTGATCTGGGTGCCAGTGCTGGCTCCAAGCTTGTCTGAGTGTTGCTAAGTGTAGCTTATTCTCAGCCTATCTCAACGCATCTAAAATGTATCCAAGTCTGGCAGCCAGAGGCAGGTCACATTTGGTGCCGCCTTTGAGTCGCAGTTGGTCTGAATCAGGTGGTTAGCTGAGTTGTCGTGCTGTAATGTTTTTTTTTTTTCTTTACAATGTTTAGTTTACTCTTTGGGCTATTTTTTGAGATACATGATTTTATTAGACCTGGCATGAGAAGGCCTTGAAATATCTTACTTTGATCTTGGACACACTGTGTTATACTGTGTATTTTCCCAGGACAGAGAGGTTCTTGTATTGGTGGACATGAAAGGTATTTGAATGAGATGAAAGATTCCAGGTTCTAATGTTAGCACACTACCTTTAACTTTTTAACGTCATGAGAGCGTGTGTCTTAATGCTTAGCCTGCCAGACTTTTTACCTTAAAGTCTGATTTTTTTACGGTTGTGAAGCTGTCATCCTTCAGAGAGAGAAACAGACTGTTTTTCACTGAAACTCAAAATTAGTAATGACAGACTTGGAGATGACAGACATTAGCAGTAATAGTGACAATAACCCCCCTTCTCCTGGCTTTGAAGCTCTTCTTCTTTTCCTCTCTGTTTGCGATGCATGTTGTCTGGAGGATCAGGCAGTGTGGAGAGCCAGGTGCGAGGGGCAGGAGCTGATAAAGAAGCAGGGCTGCTATCAGGACACAGGGCCTGATAAAGGACAACACTCACCACCACCACTTCCTGATTTATAGCTGCCGTAACCACAGTGGAGCCATGACCACAGCAACCCCCATTTTACTGACACTTATATTTTATGTTTATTTATTTTCGTTACAGAAAACCCTAGCTATTATAAAGCCTCTTTGTCTTTGCCCAACAAAAAGGAGTACCATTTGATCACTGATAATAAATTATTATTTAGTCATAAATTATTAGACTTGACTAGACATTACCAAAAGTATATACCCCGATATTACACTCATATGTGATTTTTTAACACCTCATTTCAAAACTATGGCTATTAATATGTAGCTATAACAGTCCCCACTCTTCTGGGAGGCTTTCCACAAGGTTTTGGAACCTGGTTGCAGGGATTTGCTCCCATCCAGCAAACAACAGCATTAGTGAGGGCTGCCACTGATGCTCAGGCTTGGCTTGCATTCGGTGTTCCAATTAATCCCGAAAGTGTTGGATGGCTCTGTGTGGGCCCGCACTGTTCCTCCACACCAAACTCGGAAAAACATTTTTTTATAGACCTGGCTTTCTGCATTGTGGCACTGTCATGTTGAAAGAGAAAGTGTTGCCACAAAGTTGGAAGCACATTTTTGTCTAAAATATCATAAGTGGCCTAGCCCAAACCATGAATAATAGCCCCAGAACAAAATATCACTTTTTCGGTGTTGTAGGTGAAACATTGGTCCTGCACGCTCTGCACATGCAAATCTTTAGGTATGACTTCAAAGACATTTGTCATTCTATTAATAAATAATATATTGCTCCTTTAGGCAATACACTGTATGTTAAATGCCACACATTTCTGCATCTAGTTTACAGCCAAGGCTGTTAATCCAAGATGGGAGTGGATGCCAGCACTAGATAGAGAGATGAAGGAAATGAAAGACTCTAAAAGAGTAATAAACAGATTAATAATGTGGAAGGTTCCAGCGGCCAGCCTTGCCTCTCTCAATTAGTGCTAAATCAGCAGCGGTTATTAGCCTGCCCCTAATTGAATGTGATAGCGAACCGTGTTAATGCAATCCTCCAGGTGTAATTGGTGTCAGAGGGAGAGGTACATCCACTGCTAGCCCTGTCTCTGTACCGGGCCTCGCATTTGCGTGCTCATTCATTTTCTGCCCCCACGTGACATCAGCCAGTACCCTGAACATGTCTGATCCTGCCTTGCTGTTACTTCAGGGAAAATCTTTGCCTCCTGAGTGGGCAATTCCTCCAGAGATGATCCAAGTGAATCCTCCAACTAATAAGGAAAGTCTCAAAAGCTCTCTAAGCCTTTTGGGTATTTCAGCACTGTCTTTTGGAAAGAGAATACAGACATCAATCTGCCTGATTCAGTCTTGAAGTGCGATGGAAAATGGCATATTTATAAGCAGATACGAACAACCTTACAAAGTGATGAATACAACCAGAAAAGTGTGACTTTTCTCACTCAATTCTTTCAGTTTTCCAGAAGCTGCTGCCCAGAAGCATCCCCAAAAGATGTGAAAAGAAGTGCTGGCATCATGCGTCTCCGTGGGGATGGTGATGAGTAGTATCTGGCTCTCACTAGATACAGCAATTGGCATTCAGGCCAAAGAGTTCAATTCTTGTCTCATCAAGCCAGAGAATCTTTCCTTCATGCTTTCAGAGTCATTTAAGTGTTTTTTGGCAAACTGCAGCCAGGCTGTCATGTGGGTTTTTCTCAGGAGTAGCTTCAGTTCGGACCACTCTCCCATAAAGTCATGTTGTTGGAGTGCTGTAGAGATGGTTGATCTTCTCTTTTTGTTCAGTTATTTAATTTCAGCTCTAGAAAAAGTGTTTTAGGGTGGTTCCAAATTCCTTCAGTGATGGCACCCACTGTGCTCTTGGGAACTTTCAGCATTTTAGCTTCTTTTTTTCCATCCTCCTCAGATCTGCGCCTCAGTAGAATTCTATCTGTGGAGAGTTTTTTGAATTTCATGGCTTGGTTTTTAGCACTCACATGCATGTGAACTGTGACACCTTTTAATAGACAGAGTTGTGCCTTTCGAAAGTATTTCAAATCAATTGAATCTGCCTTAGGTGGACTCCAATAAAGTTTTACACCTATTCTCCGCACAGTATGGAAACTTTGCATCTGTGCACTTGTATCTGTGCTGCTGCACTGCATCATTAAGCACTACACCAGCTGTCAGTAATACAGCTTGTCAAGAGTGACATAAAGAAAAGACAACTTTTTACCATTCAATTGTTTTCTGGCTGTAGTTCACATTCTGAATGTTAAAACACTGAAGAAAATAAATACATATATATTTACTGCATCTGAAAATAGCATGTTAACATTATCTTGATAGACGTTGCTTTAATATAACCACAGAAGTGCATAAATATTGGTTTTTGTGAATATGTACCGTAAAGAGATTAACTATGCAGAGCTAAGGACGTGTAGTCAGGCAAAAACTGATTCCTTTGCAAATTTATATCCATTTGAGAGATGTTTCAAGGGGTTATAAAAAAGTAAAATCACTTGGAAATGCACTGGAGTATGTTTACAGATTAATGGCATACAATGAATCGGATCCATTTTAATTCTACCAAACACCAAAATAAAGTAAATAATAAAATGTGTAAAAGTGGCTTAATATTATTCTAGTTCAGGGTATTTATTAAAGCCTACTTGCCACCGAAGTCATTTAAAAACTCACGCACACACACAACCATAAACACATATGCTAAGCCTTTTCCCTCCTCCTTATCTCCATCTAGATGAGGCATGCAGCAACTGCTCTTTCGGGGCGATCTGCGATGCCCAGAGCGGGCAATGTGTGTGTGCATCGGAGTGTGTGGAGTCCCACCAGCCTGTGTGCGGCAGTGATGGCACCACCTACAACAGCGAGTGTGAGCTGCATGTCCGGGCCTGCAAAGAACAGATGGACCTCCGAGTGGTCAACCAGGGAGAGTGCAGTAAGTAATGCATACATTTAAACAGTGTGTGTCTAATGCTTACAGTGTACCATACGTATTGTTTATTGTATATGATTCTTGACATACTGTGCGTATGAATCCTGGGTGATAAGAGAAAAAAGAAATAAAAATTTATGAAGTTCTTTTTCTCAAGCTATAAATTAAATGTGGATATAAAAAATGCAAGTAGAACCCAGCAGGAACCTCATACAGCTGCAGGCAGGCAGTTCTTATTTCAACAAACTTTGAATGAAATTGCAGGGTATTCAGATAGGGAATTACCGAGGGAAAATGTATACATCAGATTTAAGTGAGGGTTATATTACAAGAGGAATTTGCATGCATTGCAATTAGGAAATGACCATTCTACTATTTCAGAGAAGCATTTTAAGGTCTGGTGTGAGTGAAATCCATCAAAACAACTCAATGAATATTTCCTTTTTTGCATTGACCCATCACACTCTGACCCGTCCCTGTGCTGTGTTTGTAATTCAGAAACATGCGGCAGCACCATTTGTGCCTGGGGTGCTCGGTGTGTCCAGAATAAGTGTGAGTGCCCACAGTGCTTGGGCGAGGCCCTCTCCACGGTGTGTGGAAGCGATGGCACCACCTACAACAACGAGTGTGAACTCCGCATGTCCTCCTGCATGCAGAAGAGGAGAATTGATGCAGTAAAGCCCGGCAGCTGCGACGAAGGTAGGAAATGGACTTTGAAATGGTGTAATTATGTTAACCAATCGCCCATTGAAATGGTGTAATTATCTTTATCAACTGACCTGTGGTGCAGTATTCAGTCATCTGTGGATTTTCATAATGGTTGCATATGCCACCAGCAGCATGCCAACAGGCTAACATAGCGAAAGATGAAGTGAAAGTCACACTGCGTGTCCGTCAACAAAACCTGTTACATGAACACAAATTACTTCTGGGTGATTAAGTTCAGGTCAGCTGTACTTTTTTTCGAAAACAATATCTTCATGCTTCATCAGTCCCTCCATTTCTTTAGCTGCTTTAAATTCTCAAATAGTTACCAGGGTCTTTATTAGCCTCAACTGCAGATCCAAACCCAAGCTCATATTATTTCTAATGTACCCTATTGTATTATATATTTTTTTATTTTATTATGTTTTGGTAAGAAGCCAATTTTCTGATCTGCTCCCGTTCTTATGTGCTGCAGCTGCTGTTTGTTGTTTCTGGATCTCAGCACTTTTTCCCCATTTTTACTTGTTGTCTAAATAAATTAAAGCAAATTCATTATTGTTGGTCTTACTTGGCCATTTTTTAATTCAGTTTGAAGCTGCTGTCAATGAAACTCAACACAAAGCCTTCCAGCAGCTTATAATGCATTAAACTTCCCATCTTCCTAGCATGGTTTTAATGTGAAATATCTGGAGGAAGTGGAGATCCCCTCCAGACACGTATTAGGCATATTCGACAATAATTCGCTTGGAACAATAATGTGTGTCTGATGTTTTTTCCACACAAAAAGTACAATTTCTACTTCAAAATCCTTAAAAAGACAAGACATCTACTCCTTCTACTTCATTAAAAATGAAAGAATCTGTGAATATGCAAATTGTGCATATTTTCCTGCTTGACACACAATGTCTCCTACTTCACTGTAAAGTCCATTCTCATAAGTTGCATACTGGACCAGGATTGACCTCCACACTATTTGTGATGTCAAATGGTTGTAGCCTCGTCCCTTAAAATCAGATTTTCAATGAGCACAGAGAAGATGAATGTGAAAACATCCTTTTAGCATTAAACTCTGCACATACATCATTCTGCACAGGAAAGCTCAGAGAAGAAAAACATATTTTTCAGTGGAGGGCGACTTTAAGTTTCATTGATATTAGCATTGAAATATATTATTTTAAAAGAGAAACTCAACAGACTGGTGCGTATCACATGAACATGTTCACCATCGGAGCCGATGCCAAGTGAAGTCCTTTCACTTGGCTTTTGTTAGGTGTTATTTGTTTGTGTTGTCGCGGTTATTAAATACCAGCTTTTATTTGAAGATTTTACAGTATACATTTTATCAAGCCCTTTTGTCCAATTATGCTTTGTGTATGTGTATGACCAATGGCACTTAATGTGAGTACCCTTGATTTCTACGCCTGTGGCTCTGTCGTTCCTCCACATTATGAATAAAGGAGATCTAATTTACCGTGCAAATCATATCTTGATCAGCGCTGACAGACCGAGGCAGGATATCACAGTCCCTGCTCGGCCTGTCTTGGGGGACAACTCTGGAGGGAGCAACATGTCAACCTCTGGTTGTCATGCAGACGATGCCGTTCCCCGTCAGCTGTTGGGTTGTCGCATGGAACATAGTCATCCTCTTACGAGGTGTGAAGGGGAGCAGATTACACCTGCCAGCAGGAGGGATGGCTTGAGAGGAGAAAAGAGGAGGTAGATGGAGGACAGAGCAAATAGAGATGAGAGGAATCCTCTCCTGTTTTGATTGCTAGCCAGGGGTGTTTCATTCTTTTCTTTTTTTTTTTTTTCTACTATTGTCTACCGCATTGGCCCTAGGCCTGCGAGGCGAATCGTGCCGCCAAAGCTTCTCGTGGTCGATTTAACATCATTTCATTGACTGAGACGAGTGACCTTTTTTGTATGTGGAGCTTGAAGAAATGTGAAACCGTATGCCCACCATGCAGACTCTTTGTCACCATACACACATACATCTACACACTCTGTGCTCTGTCTGTCTATTGGTTGTCTGGTATCAGGAAAAAAACGCTCCTTCCCTGCCTAAGGGCATTGCTTTGCTCGTGGTGCCTCATGGGTTCGTTTTTATTCTTTCTCTCATACTGTCTCTGAACATCCTCCTTTTTTTTTTTCATCAGTTGCTCATTTTGATTCAGAGAAAACCATCAGGCTTACACAACACAATAGATTCTTGTTTTTTTTTTTTTTTCCCCACTCCCCGTCGCTCTCCGCCATTCCACCCACTCATGTCTCTCTCTCCATTTTGCACTCTTCTCTATCAAAATTGTATCTCTCGACAAAAGGGGCACCGATGCTTTCACAGATAGGGGTGGAGATGGGATTGTCTGCAACCGATAAATTTCACCCCAGGGGTGGCTACTGCTTCCAGGTCCTTTCAGCCCCCCCTTCAAATCTGACCCAGACCCTCCACAGGACGTCTGCTGTCATTGTACGAGGATCAAAACCAAGTTGCTGTTCTTCCCCTTGAAATATCCGTGTTTGGCTGTGAGATCTTGGCTATATACTGTAGAAAGGATTTGTTGTTGATAAATTCATCCCCGCCTAGATGTATGGGTGGTAGATTTTGGCAAAATTAGTAGTATATATTGTGTAATACAGCACTCTGTCACAAAATATAAGACCAAAGACTGTATTTTCTGGCTCTATTGTAGACAGCAGCAAAGCTCTACATCACCGGTGTGCACAACCCCCAACTCCATACTTCATATCTAAGATAAGCCTAGAGAGGAAGTGAACATGTGATTTATTCGTTTACGTAGACCTGACTTAAAAACCATCCTCATTAGTCTTGTTGGGGGGAGGGGAGCACAGAGCATAAAAATGGAAGTTGTTTTCTTCCGCCTTTTGTTTAACAGTAATGAAAAATGACAGTGTTCCCACTGTTGGCCATACAGGGAAATTTATCACCTGTTTAATTTCACACTCGGGTAGGCCTGGCCTCAGCTTCTTTTCTCGACACTGACAAAGTGGCAACTCAGAGCAGTGCATCACCTACAGGGGCCCAGGCCCCTTTTTAATTGAATAGACATTTAATAAACAAGATTATGAGTGCAGGATCACACAGTGACACCCGGTCCACACCCTGCTCCTCACAGATCAGATCAAGAAAGCTCCAAAAGACATGAAAGGGCATGGGGGGGAAAAAAAGCAAAGTGAGTGTCTGGGTGGGAAAAGAACTCATCTGAGTGAGATCAGCGGATTTTTCCTTCATGGTCCATCCATCACGGGGCTCGTAACCTTCTGTTGAGGCAACAAAACTTCTTTTTCTCCTTATGCCATCTGCACACACCCCATACCTTCTCCCCACCGGGCGTGACGCTCCATCCCTCTCTATCTCACGGAACTTTATTTGGACTAACACGCTGTCACACTCGTCAGGACCAGGGCGTACGAGGGGACTGATAGATAAATAGATGGAGCTAAAACAAATGCAAATTGCGCCACGCTGCGTCCTTCGGCAAAGGCTGCTGTGCCGTGACACGCACCACAACGAGGAAGGATTTGTTTCGAATAGATAGATGTCCACATTGGCATTCACACAGGTCATGCTATCATAGCTTTCATAATAATATTGGCTGCTGCTGGAGCTACAGATATTGACATGAATAATCTGGTTAACCAAACATCTTCAGGCTCACACACATTTTCTTCACTCTTTATTTTTTACCCTTTACCCTACTTTCTTCTTCTCTCTTTAACACACACTTCGGGACAGCTTAGCATCCCCTCCATCACTTCCTCTATTGTCAAAATCCTCTCCTGTCAAATCCTTGTAATGTCTTTTCCTCCCCTTTCTTCTTTGGACATTATTCTTATGCTATTCATTTCCTTTCTTCTCTCGCCGCTGAATTCTGTCTTCTTAATGGGGCTCCCTTGGCTAAATAGACTCCGGCTTCTGACATGATTGAGTAAAAAGGAACGGATGGGCAGTGCAGAGAGAATAGCTGATGCAGCCATCTTAGCTGGGGATGTATTAATTGAAAGGTTCATAGGCAGCACGGGTGGCGGGCACATCAAAGAGCAACAGCTAATTAGGACCCCCCTTCGCCCTTCACTTTTATTTATTCCATTCTAATGTCTTACCTTTTTTATTTATTTATCTTGTCCCTGTAAGGGGGCCTGAGCGGAATATGAATTGGCTACTCCTGCATTTCCCTTTTATTATGTCTTGCTGAGCTGGCGTACAGTACACAGATACAGGTGGCCAAGCACCAGGGCCGCAGCTTTTGTTATTATTTCTCTTTCTGATCAGCTCTGGAGTCGGCTGACTTCTCACTTTCAGGTGACATCTGAAGCCAAATACCTGCCGGTTGAAAGCCATTAGCCAGCGCATTAGCCCCGTCACAAAATGTTACGTTTAACTTGGGCAGTGGTTCACAATCGATAAGTAGCTACAACGGCAAATTCGAGCAAAAGGATTAGGGTCTGAGGTTCTGCTGGTTTAAAATGGAGACAGAGCGAGTCCTTAACAAGTCCTGATGTCTGTGGGGGATGTGGCCTCTGAAACACTCTACACAAAGCTCCAGCTCCGCTGTTGTATCCACTGCTAATGAAGTCAAGGCCCCTCCACTGTATCAACCACTCAAAGCTGTCACAGTCCATTGCTGATGACCCATAACAAAGAACAGCCAGGGCTTCATCTGCCCCTGCACTGTGACCTGCTCCATAATCTACTTTAGAAGATGGGTTATGCTAAGTGGCACTTCCATCACTACAACATTGATTTCACCATTAGAGGTTGTGCATCAATACAGAGAGTTGAATGAGCCCTAAAAGTATACGGGAAGAGGAAGAAACATGTTGATTACCTGATGTTTTTTGAGCCTTTCAGCTGCGCTGGGAGCTTTTAGTTGGACTGGATTCCTTTTTTGAATAACAAATTTGTTTCAAATGAACTTTCTTCCAGCCCACGGGGTGCCTTTCTCTCTGTCTGACATTCTCTCCATCTTTCTTGCTGACTGCTTTCATTCCCTGCCTTCACACACATTCACCTAATCTCCCTCAGGAGTTCCACTGTAGGTGAAATTTGCAACTTCAAAAGCAGGATCCTCCCCCTTTCTGTGCCTGCACTCTGGAACAGCTCCCGATTTGTTTTTCATAAATGAATCTCCAAACTCTCCCGCTGGATAGCTTTTTTTCCCCTCCTTCATGTATCCCTTTAAAACCTTCCTTAAATTCCTTACCTTGTGCTTAAGTTCGCACAACAGTTCAACAAAGTCAACAGTTTTGTGAACTACTGGATAGTGATTACGGGGCTTTGTTTGGCCTTGCTACCTCTTTAACCAGGAACATAAGGTCAGCTAGAGCGGCTCTCTTACTTCGATCTGGAGAAGTGCACTTTTAAAACAAATAAAAAGGTCTTCTAGGGTCACAGTTAAAGAGTTGCTGGGACAACTTTCTTTAAAGTCTCAGGCGATAATTAGATTTTACAGAACACTTTGCAATTAGTTGTATTCTCATATCAGGAAGCAGGCACCCATAAAGCAGGCCTTGCCACCAATTCTTTCTGCACACTTGGAGGCCAGAGTTAATAATTCCCTCCCCTTTTTGTCTGTGATTTAATTGAAATGAAAAGGATGCCTCGCTGGTGGTGCAGAGATGTTGTGTCTAATTTATTTAGTCAATCTCTCGCCCTCACTACAGTTGGTCATTATCTTGTACTACCAGCAGCGCCTTTGGTTCCCTCTCTCCACCGCCAGCGTGAGAGAAATATAAATTATCCCAACTTTGTGATGTTCGTAATGTATAAATGTAGCCTTAACTTTAGAGAAATATGACCAGGACACGGTTTCTACCTGATGCTCTGATAAAGGGATAACTCCCTAGTGTGTTTGCTTGTTTTATGAATAATATTGTGTATTTATGGTGTGTTTTATAATGCAGAGTGTGGCTCAGGAGGGTCCGGCTCAGGCGTGGAGAGCTGTGAACAGGACCGCTGTCGTACATTTGGAGGCTCGTGGGACGAGGATGCAGAGGACGACCGCTGTGTCTGTGACTTCACCTGCCAAAGTGTGCCTCACAACACGGTACAGCTTCCTTCAAAACCTTCACAAAAACGCAACTGATGCAGTTTGTGTCTCTGAGTCGTAATGAATTGGAACACACAAACTAAAACAAACACTACTGATGTTGACTTATTCTTCCCTATGGTGGCTGCCTCCACAGTTCATTAGGGGAAAATGCTAATCAGTTTAGAAATTATTAAAAAGCAGTCCTTATAACTTCAGCTCAGACCCTCTCAAATTTTTCTCTTTAGTATCAAAAGCAATCCTGAGAGTTATGGTTACAATGCAAACAGGAGTGCCATTTCTACATTTTTGTAGAACACTCATGATGTCCTGTCAGTGTGGTTCAAACAAAGTGCATCAAGCATTAAGGGTCAACTTGCTGGAAATGAACAGCATTAACATTAGTTGTTATAAGAAATGAGGGGAAATTAATTGATTGGTGCCACACCTTTAAAATAATATACTTATACTACTACTTAATCTTGTGCGCTTGGGAAAAGGTAGCATGTATTTTCAAGTCAAAAGGCTTAAGTACAGGTGAAGTCACAAGTCATTCTTTTAATTCATTCACCTTTCTGTCATTCTTTTGTAGGTTTGTGGCTCAGACGGGAAAAACTACAGCAACGAGTGCGAGCTGAAGAAGGCCAGATGTGAGAAACAAGAGCACTTGTTGATTCAGACTCAGGGACCCTGTGCAGGTCGGTACATTTCACCACTCAGAGTTACATTACAGTGCACAGAAGCACCCTCACCAAGACTCATTGCCATTGACATCCCATTTCTCCACTCATTTCACTCATTGATGGGGTAGTAATAGTCCATAGTTGGAATATAATTCTGACAGCGCTGCTGTTGTCTCTCTGCAGTGTTACCACTGTAGACATAAGCAAATGAAGTGAAGAGGGTCAAGGTTAAATTTGATGTGTGTGATTGTGTAATTTGCTCAGGGAATGATGACTCAGCACACTTGCAGCTTTTCAGCAATGCTGTCGTTCATATGTGGCAAACTGACCGGTCCTCTGGGGCTGGCTAGTGTGTGGAGCTACGAATCTTTCTCACAGGCACACGTATGGACTGAGCTGATTGCAATAATGATTCACTTTCCCAGCCGAGACATTCTGAAGATTTAAACCATTAAAGTTGTGTTCACAAGCTTTGCTTCATAACCCTCAGGATACCACTTTACCCCAGCTTACTTTAATATAAAAACCCTCTCTTTGCATGTAAATGAATGGCATTTATCAGCCAGAATCAGATCAGTGGCTAAATAGCAAAGGTTAGCTGCCTTCCTCTCTGTGGCTATGTTAAATGAAGAGCTTTTGCTCTGATGCTAGCGCAGGCCAGGGAGCAGACCAAAAGGCACTTAAGGGATTTGGTGTGATCATTTCAGCCTGTTTGATTCCCTGTGGGTCTAAAATAGAGGAGGAAGGAGAGTTGAAAAGAGAGTGAGAAAGAGGGAGCTGCCAGTGTTTTCACACACACCCCTGCAGATTCTTCTCCTTCCTAAGCTGGCCTCCTTGGGCACTGACTGTCACGCTTCTCTACCATCCATGGATAATCAATCCTTTTTTTGAAGAGCCCTCTATGGGTACGAGAGCTCTGGGCTCTCCTTTCCTATCGGCAAGTGCAAAAACTCAGATCTTGGGGAAATTCACTGCCCTCCACATTAGCTATGTAGGGAGAAACTTCATTTGACCTCAACTCCAGAAACTTGCTGGCTCTAACTAGGGGAGCATAAAGGCAACCTTGTTTTTTAGAGGTTTCGGATTTTGGAAAAACTTGCATGCGGCATCTACTGTGTCATCTGCTGCATGCACATTTGTAAAGTTTGCCTCTCATAGCATTTCCAGCCATCGTCTATAGCTGCCTGCAAACTCAAATCTAGGTCAGGGATTTCAGTAAAATCCAAAGAAATTCTTATTGGTTAACAAGAAAAGCAAAAGTGCAGATGTGCCCTTGCTTGAATATAAAAGACTAGCTACATTCGCTGCAGCGGAGATTGCACAGCCGCAGACCTTGAAAATGTGAGGGTAATACTGCACGTCACAGTGAGCTGCATTGTGCTGGACAATGGCCACTGAAGAGGAAAAACCCTTGAAGGGTGGAAGAACATATGAAATTAAAAGTTCTCCTTGTCCTAATAGGCTCAGTGCAGATAGCTGAATGGAGCGCTGGAAAGTGGCAAGTTAAATGAACTGTGTCCAAAGCCCATCTCTGGAGTGGGAAAGCACTGGAAAAAGAGCGAGCCGAGTCATCACCATTAGGCTGAGGCTCATATCCACACCAGTAGCGGTGTGATTTATGGCCCCTGTATCTCCAGCCTCCAAACTCCAAATGAGCAACACAAGAAAAAGAGATCGGGAGGGGAATAGAGAGAGACAGAGAAAAGAAGGGAGAGAAAGATTCTGTTTTGTTTCTGCTTTCGATCTCTACAACTTTACTTTTCACTCCAAAGCTTGGAAAGAATTTGAACAATGATATTTTTTGCCTCGGCCATTAAACAAACCCCCTTCTCCCTCCCACTGTATGTTTTGTTGTTCTTCTCTTCCAATTTCTGGAGAAGCGCCAGTTTTTGGGAACACATTTGTTTTTTATTTTGTTGAATGTAGTTCTTTATTCAGAGCTGTCACACTAGTTTGAAGGCTGGTGCATCCTTAGACAAAGGAGCTCTCCACACACTGTGCTCAGGCAGAAACTGCTTGGCACATTCCTTCACATTATGCAGCAGGCTTTCTTTTTTTATTTATTTTTTGGGAAGGTTGTAGGGCACCAGCGCAATTCCGTAATATTAGACAAGAACAAATGAAGAGAACATGCCTCCTAGTAGGTGGTAAATGTCAGCTGCCGCACATTCACCAGCAACGCCATTGTTTGTTTTCACTGGAGGTAATAGCATCATTTTCCCCCTGATTTTGAGCCATTGTGGAGAAAGTAGCAAATAGAATTGTTATCTTGAAGCCGGCTGCCAGCCTCTCCACCTCTGCCCCTCAAGCCAATCGCATTGTTGGCAAAAAGTTACATGTTGCTTGGAGATTGTGTTGTCTAATTTCCCCCTTCCCCGACTAAACCCCTCCCCTGCCAATGTAATCACTCAAATGTTGGTGCTCTTCTTTCTCTCCTTGTGCCATCTCGGTTTTTGTTCCTACCTCATCAGCGATTTCAACCACATCTCCGCCTGAGCTGACAGCTCCCCAGCACTGCAGTCTGTCTGTGTACGGCTGCTGCCACGACAACGTGACGGCCGCCTTAGGAGTCGGACTGGCTGGATGTCCCAGTAAGTTCTCCTCAAGCCGCCCCCCCCGCCCCCGGCTTTGACCCTTCAACCTCAATGTGTCCTGAGCTTGTTGTGTGCACGGAAAAAAAAAAAGTTGTAGATACTATCAGGCTATTTCAGCACATGGGGCTTATTGTCCTTGACTGCAATTACAGCTCCAGAGTTGCAGAGCTGAAAACGTTTCATCTTAATCCAAGGAATAATTATGATAATGTTGCACCGTATCAACAGAAAAATCTCTTCATCTGATGATCTTGACGAATGATAGCAAAGAGACGGGGGAGAAAATGCTGCATCGAGCTGTTAGCTAGGGGATACAGTATGGATGGAGAAAATGCAGACTTAGAAATAGGGATATACAGAGATTTAGCAATGGGGAAACTCACCTAAGCACACTTTATCCACCTTTTTATTTGTGGAATAGGGCTTACCCAACATTTGAGCCTAGCATAAATCTTTAATGCAGAATATCCATCATAGTAAGCAGTATTCAGCTGCTGTAAGTTATGGGACGACAGGTTTAGAAAAGCATAAAACAGTGATGTATTGCAGAGGAGTTTGATTTCATCTGAAGCAGTAGAAGTTAAAAGTGACACCCATGTTGCTCTGTTTTTCCTCAGGTACCTGTCAGTGTAATGTCTACGGCTCCTACAAACAAACATGTGATCCAGCCACCGGCCAGTGCTCCTGTAAGCCAGGTGTCGGGGGACAGAAGTGCGACCGCTGCGAGCCGGGCTTCTGGAACTTCCGTGGCATTGTGACCGAGAACATGAGCGGCTGCACGCGTAAGGAATCACGTCTTTGTGTCTGTGCCGGCTGAGCAAATGTAGTTGTACTGTACCGTTACACGTGACTTCAGCAGTAATTTGGTACAGTGCTAGTCGCTGTATGTATGCTGCTTTTTGTTCCTTCTCATAAATTGCTTAAGGCACCCTCTCACCTTCTTTTCACAAAGGGTCAGCTCACACAAAAATTACAAAAAACATTTTCTCACTTACTTCAAGCGGTATCTAGCCACGCAGAGAGTGTTTGAAATATCTGTCTCTGAGATTTCTGCTGTGACCTCAATAGTCAGGTCAATTTTATTCATATGACCCAAAATCACAAATCTCACATTTGGTTCAAAAGGGTTTCACAATCAACAGACAGGCTTTAGCTCCTTTGTAGAAGAAATCCCACCATGTCCTTTAGTCCTGTCAAAACTGTATTGAATGAGCTTTTTTCATTTGTATTCAAGTGAACAACGGGGTCAGGACCGCTTGTTTGTCCTGGTGTAATGCAATATGGTGACCAGCTCGCATCCTGCCGCTGAGGTATCATAGGACATACGCTCCCAACGCCACAGAGCATTTTCAGTCAACAGCAGGAAGCCTGCAGGTCCCTCACCCGTGGCCTGACCTTAACAAGGTTTACCCACAGCAAGCAGACAGCACGCTGCACACCAATACCAGGTTCAGCAGGAGAGGAGGGAAAAAAAACACACATCATTGATTCTAGGAACATGATGGGGTTGATGTCCTTCCCTTGGGTTGTTTTTCTTGACTGTCTGTCTCGTACTCCTCCTCCTTCTCCTCTTTTTGTGACCCCTAAGGCGTTGTGAACTATCCCCAACCCTTGACTCTAAGACATAGATGTATCTAAAGCAAAGTTCAGAAGCTAAGGTTGCCTCAAACACACTTTTGCATGCAACATAAACCAAGCTATTTTTATCCCTTCATTGCCCCTAATTGATACATTTTTCTAATCAATCTTCTTTTTTTTTTTTCCTCTACCTTTCCACGGCAGCGTGCAACTGCGACGCCACAGGCTCCGTCCGGGACGACTGCGAGCAGATGTCAGGTCTGTGTTCCTGCAAGACGGGAGTGAAGGGCATGAAGTGCAATGTGTGTCCAGATGGAAGCAAGATGGGCATGAACGGTTGCGACAAAGGTAACAAGAGAGAGTGCTGTGGCGACCGGTGGAGCATTTCTAAAAACCATAAACACACACACTTTCGTCTCAGCTTCTCTCTCTCATTACGTGTTTTTCTGTAACTCGTCTGATCCGTGGATCAGCCTTGTAGCAGGGCAGTAAATCGATAGTCATTAGGAAAATACTGGAGTGTACAAATGACATGTGCGTGGCACATCGCCCATTGATGTTTAATTTTCTCTATATCACATTCCATTTTGGATGTTTCACAACACTTCCATGAGGATGTTTATGCTTCTGCATAAGGACTATTGATTACTTCGATTAATAAAGAAAACAGCCCCGGTGATTGCACAAGCTAAAAAGCCGGTTGAAGGAAAGGTTAGCTCCTGCTGTGGGGGCCTGCAGCTCCTTGATTAAGATGCACCATCAGATATCGACTGGAAAGTCAAACGCTTAATGAAGCCAGCAGTCCCAGCACAGTGGTGGGGCACTCCGCCACACACCCTGCCAGATGAAAAGACAAGGTACTGAGGAGTGGTAGCACATGAAAGCAGAAGCCGAGGGGTGGGGGGTACTCTTAGCTTCTGTGATGTTGCAATAATGCAAAGACCCCACACTCACAGCCTTGCCGGTGGATGGTGGGCTCCCCTACTGTAGCTCCTACTGCGGCAACTTCAAGGCTTCAAACGCTCCTTTTGGAGAGCTTGGGGAGATATCTGCGGAGAGAAAATATCCTGAGTGCACACCTTTGCACAACAGTTTTTTTACCGCAGTAAGACAGTTAAGGAATATTTCTGTGGTCTTTGAAAGTATGAATAATTCACATCGTGTTATGTACAGGTAACTAGAATATATTACATTACGATCACATTACCACTGCTGTACTGTGGTTGTAAGGAGACTAAAAACAGGTCACTCTCTTAGAAACACTAGGAATGAAACACCGTCTGTCAACATGTTCTACACACATTTTAAAATCAGACACAGTTGGGTTTGAGGTGTCAGGGGTTGTGGCTCTGTGCAAGGCTAGCTCATCAGCATCCTCGTTACAAACACTAGTGCTAACCGTATCCCACAGCAAGCCAACGGATAGTGCAAAGACAAGGCTTAGCATAGTGTTAGCATGTTATATTTGGTGTTGAAATGTAACCCCAGCTATACATGCTAACACTATAAATTGGACTCGTGTCACTCACTGGGTGACACAGAGAGAGGGCCCTGACTTTTGCTAGTCAGGGGTCTATAGACTTTTTGTCCAAATCTTGTGTATGACACCATACATAAAAGTGGAGTAAGCTCTGAAGCCACAACTGCTTTACCATTACGATTAATATACAGTGTATAAGAATGTGTTAAGGACTCAAAAAACAATTTTTGTTTGATTGCTCTTCATCTCTTCATTACTCTTTCATAATTTTTCAGTCTGAGAAACCAATTTAATGGCTGTTTAACAGGCACAACTTTTGCTCACTTAAATATAAGCAGAAGTTGTATAATTGTTAAAGTTTAACATTAAATATGCATGCACATTTTTCACACAACTTCCAACCGCAATTTAGAACTTATAAAGCAGCTTTAGTCCATTGTGATTAGGGGGCTGTACAGAATGTGTAACAACATAAACCCGTTTCTTTCACAGGTCCTGAGGCTCCGACTTCATGCGAAGAGTTAGTGTGCAGTTTTGGAGCTTCTTGCATTGAGGTGAACGGCCAAGCCCACTGCGAGTGCCCCTCACCTGACTGTGATGAGAAAAACAAGACCAAGGTGGGTCTTTTTTTTAAACCCTCTGCACAAGAAATAAGTAGTTTGATTTGCAAGTTTCTTATAAACAGAAAAACATTGTTTCAGTGGCCTGCAGGGACTTAACATGTGTTCCCATCTCCCCTCTCTCCATCTCTGTCACCGTGGAGCAGGTGTGCGGCTCAGATGGGGTGACCTATGCCGACCAGTGCCAGCTGAGGACCATAGCCTGTAGGCAAGACAAGGACATCACAGTGCAACATTTTGGACAGTGCACAGGTGAGCCCTGTCGAAGCTTTCGTGCATCACTCGTTGCACGGATGGCCAACTGTTGTCAGACCCCGATCAAAAGATAATGAGCGGTGCCGTGGGCCTCAAATTATCCCCCTCCTGCTGTTTCTCCTCCTATCCATCTCTCTGTCTCTGTCTCAGAAAGGAAAGTCACAGCAACATCTATGCAAATTTAGCTTGAATTTTGTGTTTTGTGCCCGGGTACCTGCACATGATGGCAATCTTACTTATTTATCATTAAGCTAATCCAAATATCAACAGACAGATTTCTGATTCATGGTTAAGATCACAGTCACATGTAAGAATTTGTGTGTGCAAGTTCTCTTGTCTGAGAATTGTGCTTTTCATTGTTTGTAATACATAGAGTACAGTAAAGTAATCTCTGCCCTCACCCTGCAACTGTCAGGCGAGAGCAAAATCATGTGTGACACTGGAGGAAAGTTAGAATAAGAAAGAGAGAGATATTTTAACATTTTAAAACCGAGGGCTCTGTAGTTTGACTGGAGTCTGAGCCTTTCAATCCCACAAGATAGCAATGACACTTCCTTCTTGCGTTCTCACTCCTCTGTTGGGATTTGGCTCCATCTTCAAACCCTCCTGTTGGGAAATGCGTCAATCCCTTTGCAGCTTTATGCTGCCAGGAACACGACGCTGTTTCAGTATGGTGGCGGATGTAGAGTACATGTGTACTGAGTAAAAGGTACAGCTTTTAGCCCATGGTCCAGATGCTGATGGACATTGTTTGGTTCGGTGTAATAGGTGCTGGGACAAGTGCCAAGGCCATGGCTTTCATGTACAGTGAAGTTGTCGCACTGACTGCCAGCTTGCGTCACAACGGGGTTCTACAGACGCCGCCGGCAAGCTCAGTAGGGAAGAGGAGCGCCAGCTGTGCAGTTCTGGCCATGAGCCACTGCCAGGTGTCTAGCATTTTAAGATGGAAAAATGTTCACCTCATCGCTCAGTGGGCACAGATCAGGTGACCTAATACTGTGGCACCAAAAAAGCAGAGTCCTCTTCGCATATCTATCTTGAGCTCTCTTTGTCAGACCCAAATTAGGTCATATCCATAGGAGGTACGACTGTTGACATGGTCTGTGTTGAACTGCAGTTGCAGGTACACAGATAAAGAATCCAAATATGCTCAGCAAGAGATCGACAAGGCTTTGATAAGTCCCTGAACATCTGGTAATTACAAATTCAGTGCCGTGGGTTACCAGCAAAAGGAGCCAAAATCCAGTCTGGTTTCACATTTCTCTGTTGCCTGGCAATAGAGATGTGGGTTGTGTGTAATTCCTTACCTAGCATTGCTGTACACAGAAGGCAAGAAGGCGCCTCGCAGCGGACCTGTTTCTCTATGGAACCCCTCAGGGGAGGAACAGACAGGCGAGCGCTCGGGCCCACCGACAGCCACAGAGGATCTTTTAATTTCTTCCTCCGGATGCGGTCGCACCGTGGGTAGCTGCTCCGCCGCCACTGTCGGCTCGGGGGTTAGATCTCGAGCTCATTTCACGTGTGGCTGGGTGCGAATTAGCATTTGCTCTGCCTCCACCCCTCACCACGCCGCAGCCCGGCCTGCCCTCCCCTCCCGCTGTTTACATGCAGTGCTTCCAGACACAGGGCCTCAGCACTGTGGCATGCTAATGTTCACTGAGCTGCTCTGTGGTTTGACAAGAGAGCAATGCCAAGGGCTTATATAAATGAGTGATTATTGATCTTTTTTAACATCATTGATCTGTCGCAAGTTTTTATTATACCACAGAGCGTGACTGCTGCTGCACAGTGTGCCTCTAATGGGCAGGCTAAGAAAAATTCACAGTCCTGCTGGAGAAGCTCCTTAAAATCATTCAGAACTTGCAGCAAACTGTGTGGTAACCCAACTACCTCTGAAGTCTCCCAGTTAAAAGGCAGCGCACCCACAGAGTACAGGGTGGTGTTTTTCTAGCTTCTTCATGCTGTATCTCAGCAAAAGACGAAGCGCTATCTGAGCAACCCAGTAAATGCAAGAGCTACTGTACCAAGCAGCAGAGCAGAGGGAGGGCATTTGGACCGATGAGCAAATTCTGGCGCCGGGGGAAAATGGCCACCAAGTTGGCAATGACCTGCCTCTCCCATATGGTGTTATCACCTGTAGGTTTGCAGCAAATTGGCAACGAATGCCAGCATATGGCATCGGCAGCCCTCCGCCTGCGTGTTAGGGTTCTGTTGCCTCCACCATGTCCTGCGATTTTCTCTCATTATTCAATCCCTCATTCTGTTCCCACTGTTTGCCTTGCCATATTCTCCCACTGCTAGCTTTGTTAACGTGTTTTTTTCCCCTTCTGATTTAAAACCTTTTCTTTAGGCATTTGTCCCTATCATTTTCTTGTTCTTGGCTCTCTGGCTCCCTTTTCTACCCCCTCCGGTCTCCTGTATCCAGATTCCTCCTCCTCCTCCTCCTCCTCCTCCTCACTGAGCGCGGCTGACACCACAAACAATCTTAATAACTACCTTTCAACAATAACTACATGGCTGAGACAAGCCGAGATGACAATGATTTTTTTCCCTCTCCATCCTGTGACATAACTGTCCGTTGCTCCACTGAGAGTGAAAAAAAGCACAAAAAAAGGCAAATGGACTGTTAAACCTGATTAAGAGAAGCATCAGCTGAACAGACTGCGCTGCCAGTCCCTCTTTCCACTTCCAGACTTGTGTTCTTTTCTTCCCTTATCCCACGTCACAGAGCTCGCTGCTTGAGATATGCACACACACCCAAACACACATTAGACACTTCCCAGGGAGCGAGCCTCCTGACGCTAAGCTTGGCACCTGACTGACAGGTGTAGCCAAGAGGAAAGGCAATGCATGCCACCATTCTTGGTGATAGCATCACTGCTCTATGCACTCCACTCCAAATCTCTCACTATACAAATATCTGCCGAGCTTTAAGCTGACACTGTGTGTCTCCCAGGCTTTCTGCCGTCTCAGTAGGTATCACATTTCACACCTCGGTGAATAATTGCCGATCAAATAGGCGATTATAGCAGTGTAATTAAGTCCTACACATAATGTTAGGCGAATCCTAATGAGGCGCAAATCTACAGTATAGGTTATTTTTTTTAATCTTCTGTTCATTGCACCCACACGCTAACACACATCTATACTCATGGGGCGTAAAGAAGTAAAGGAAGAACGACAGTATTGTCACGCCTGCTTGCCTTGGCTAAATCTGAAGTGTTCACTTCCGTAGCATCTCCCTGCCAACTCACTTCTCCCCCTCAGGAGTTTTTGTCCTATTTATCGTTCTTTTATCGCAGACAGTTTGTCCTTTTGCACCAGAGCTTTTTGCATTGGTAATGATGGTGTCTCTGCGGAGAGCCTCTCCTCTCTCCCTCATTTGGAGTGATTTCTTGCCGTGTGTGTGTGCGTTTGTGTGCGTCTGTTGACAGTGGTGTGTTGTGGTGGCGTTGACGGATGCTCATGCTCTCCGCAAGCAGCAGTCGGCTGTCTTTGAAGCCAGAGTTAAAGCCGGCTTTTTTTGCCCCATTTCTATCAATCATTCATCACCGGAGGCACTGGCTGTTGGTGATTAAAGCCTCGCTACTGGAGGGCAGCATTTGAATATGGATATATAATTCATAGGCATTGGCACAGCATGCACGCACACGAACATGAATATTGTGCACACAAATGCATGCCATATGTGTGCACACAAGCACAAACACACTTCGCACTGTGCGTTGACACCAACTGGAGTAGTTTAACTGTGTCTGGGCAACATAACTCATCTGCAGGCGAAACACACTGCAGTGCATATAACTGTGAATGCAGTATGTCATCTGTTGGCATATTCCATATTCACTGTGCATATGGATGCACTTTCATTACTTAAGGTTTGTCAAATAAAGATTCCTGACATCTCATACATTGCAGGGTTTTTAATCAGAGGTTGCTTTTACAAATGGAAGCTTGCATATATGTGTGTGTGTGTTCTTTTTTAATGTTATTTCCTAATGACATTGTTGAGCATCAGGGAGAAGGGTTAGAAGATTAAAAAGAACATAATCATTCAGTGAATGCAGAGGTAAAAAGTTATTGTCAACAGTAGGTTGTAATAATCATTAAGTGGTTTTATTATGCTTTATTGGCTAATGATGTTTTTTATTTCCTATGGTGTGATTTTTGAGGTTGTAATTGAGCTAGGTGAAGCAAAATCCAACATTTTCATCTTTGCTCAGTCATTCATCCATTCCTTGCTTCCTCCCCTTCCCTCCACCAGAAACCATCTCTGAGCCGGCAGACCGACCCACCCCCAACCCCTCCGCCACCTCTCCCAGCTCAACCGCTGCCGCCACCATCACCACCCCCGCCCCCTTCGACCGTAACATGGTGTGGGGCATCCCGCCTCCGAGGACAGCCGAGACAGTGACCACTGAGCAGCCCCCAGCCACCACCCCCTAT